TTTTTACCGTGTATAAATAATGATTAAAGATTAGATTAAAGATTAAAGATTAGTACATAATTTGGGTTGAAAAAAGTAAAAGTGATTAAGAAACAGCGAAGGTAATTGAATTTTCAATAACCAACAAAACCTACTTGTGTATACTTTGTTCATGTAGACCCATGTACTTGGATAGCTGTTTGTCCAGTCTAGACAGAAGCATTTTTTCTGGGCCTTCTCTTGATGCGTGGAAAAGGCTCAAAAACATACTAAAGCTATACACGAACTGTTTTAAACTCAAACAAAATTTACAATTTTGAATATCCTTATTACTTATCGATCACAAACACCGTTCAGTCCTACTTCATCATTCAATTGAAGTGAAATATGCAGAAATATGGTAGTATCTACAAGTCGAAACATGGAGATTCTTTGTCTTCTGAGAAAAAGACTTTTAGTCAGAAAAGTCCTCACTATCATCGTCATCATCCTCCCATCCACTGTCATGTGCTTCACTGTCGTCCGATTCGCCATGCTCTTCATCTAGGCAGAAGACTTTTGCTACCACTTCTTCTTGTTCTTTCTCCTCAATATGAACTATTTCCTCTTCCGTTTGCGTACCGGCATCTGCTTGGGTAATCTTCGGGAAAACATTACATTATTACCTGCAGCATCCTTTTTCTTTTTCTTGTTTGTCACTGTCAGCGACCACATCTCCCGTAAACCACGCTGTTGCTTTACTGCCATTTTACCGTGTTCTTGGAGACGAAACCGAAGAAACCGCTAACTACAATGTTCCCTGTAACTGAGACCCAGTCTTCGACTAATCCTCAACGTTTACTCAACGTATTACACAGAGAATGTATTTTAAAAGCAGACTCAAGCGATGTTTTGGCGAAATTCTCCAGAAAAATTTCAAGTTTGCTTGCTCGCAACAGCTTTGTGAACACTTACCACTTTTCATCAAAAGTTTTATTTATCATTTAATTTACCTAAGGGAAAGTAAGCGTCGCAAATCAAAAAGTTGCCGTCGGATGCGACGGCCGACGGCTGATTTTGAAAACACTGTTTGGGTCAAATAATTATGTCTTTACCATGAAGGATTCTATTTATGATGAATGCCTGTGATCGGCTATATAATCTATTACACCATATATCGCTATATATCTATTACACTACACAGTACACTGATGGAATTAATTGGCTGTCACGTTTGATGTATTCCACACCAGTTGCCTTAGTGGACCAAAAGGGATAGTGTTCACGGGCAGACAAAGTAAATAAAATATCTAGTGAAGAGGAGGTCTTTATACAAAACAAGTACTAAAATCACTTAGAATTACATCATTTTTTATGATTGTAAAAATCACCTGAATTTTGAGAGGACTTATTTAGCTGCTTATTGTATAGAATCCAAAGTTAGCCACCTGCACACAAAGCGATACACTTAAAAATTTATATTCTGATGTAATCTAATTTTTACCATGTAAATAATATTAAACTTTTACGTTCTTATTTTGTAAAGTTCCATTACATTAAATAATTGAGGCGATTTGTTCACAATTTTCTGACTGTCTGTGTCAATTAAATGAACCATTTTAAAATATGGTTTCACTTCACAGGGGTCACCTCTGAAGGGGACATTTTTTCCATCATTACCCTCCTGGAGAACAGTGTGTTCATTGCCAGTTTCACTTCCAGCTTGACAGATGCGGCAAGCAACATCGACCAAGCAAAGAGGATGTACTTGGAGACGTTAGCTTCTGGCTTTTCATTTTTCCCTGACCGTAGCAACCCTGACTACAATAATTAATAATTGTATTGCATAGAATCCAAAGTTAGCCACACAAAGAGATACACTTAAAAGTTTACATTCTAATGTAATCTAATTTTTACCATGATGTAAATAATATTATACTTTTACGTACTTGTTTTGTAAAGTAAATTTACTTTTCCTTTTAATTACATACTGTTTTTTTTCAAAGTGACAAAACCATGCTTCTATTTATGAGCCTTGCATGTATACTTGGTTGAAATCTTGTTGAGAAATAAGTTTCATAAGAGTAAGAGCAACAACTCTTTTAAAGAAAAACAAAAGATTAGAAAGGCATGTTGTACCTAGAGTTACCCAGAATGAGTCCTCCCTGAGTGTGAAACTACGTGGAGTAGTGTTTGTACATTGGGTTACCTGTGTAAGCCAAGCTTGTAATTATGCATTGAGGGTTAGTGTGAGAATACAATATGGCAGACTGAATCGTGTGTTGTTTTCCTGAAAGCATAATCCACCTCCATCGAGGTCTGGTGTTCAGATATTAAAATAGGGGATGACATGCATAGTCACAGGACAAAAAAGACTTCCAAGTGCTTCAGGGCACTCCCCTATTTGCATTCCGATTGTTAAAGAGAGAGTGAAGAGACTGAAGAGACAGGGTTTGTACTCTTTTGAGCTTTTCAAGTTCCATGACTTTTTCTATGACCTAAGGGTGTGCTGTCAGAATATTTTCAAAACTGTCCTTGTTTTAGGGTATTTTTTTACATATTTGGCTAACGCAGTTCATCAGACACAAACTCTAGTGTCCACTAAACTCCACGCCAATTAATTACTATAGTCTTTATCTGACAATGTCCTTACTTTGACATCTGCAGTATATAATCTATCTAACATAAATTTAATTTTTAATGACTTTGCAGGACCGTCAATTAAATTCCATGACTTTCCTTGTTTTCCATGACCCGCACGAACTTTGCAAAACAAGATTTCAACCTTGGGCTGCACCCCTTGTGATGCCTTAGTAAGACCTTAAGACCTTATATACACAAACAGCATGATCTATAAGGTGGCCCACAAGCAGTGTGACAAATTTATGTATTCGTTGGAAAAAGGTAAAAATTATTAAGAAAATTGCAAAT